CATTTTCAATTCATTTTTTTTTTTTTGTTTTCATCAATAGTTTTAATATATTGTAAAGTATTGAAAAAAAACAAAGTTTCTTATTAAACTGACAAAAAAGTTTTTTATTAAATAAACCAAATAATATTTGAGGTTTATCCATTATGATTCTCATGACATGAAAGATACAAACAATATCGTTGGCTGATTGTTAGTCAAGCACAAAATTTTATTCCTTTTAAATTTTGGATTTGTCAAGTTAAATTTTTCTAAAAGTCGTACACAACACTCAAAGCTATTTCTATAAGGATATTCTCATAAATTGAGAAACTCCTTTTTATAATATATCGGGAAATTTAAAATATTTAAAATATAGAAGATTTAAAATGAGATTCCAGTTTCAAAATTGAATGTTACTAGTACAGAAACTATATTAAAAAAAAGGGCACAATTATTTCTAGACATTTCTGCCAAGGTGTAAAGTATCTGTGCATTCTGCTTAGAATCAACGTGTTGTTTTTCAGTCTAGGATTAGTGCGTAATATTTGTGTTCTCAGTGAAAAGAGAGAGACGCACACATATGCGTGTTAGTAGAATATAGAATCTGAACAAAGGACGAGAAATGTGACATAGTGGAAAAGCTTTTTAATGACAATGTGTTTCACCTTCATGTGTTAAGTCGGCTTCTTTATGTCAGAATAGTAGACAAAACTGTGTTCTTGAATGCAATCTTTAGGCCATGAAGATTGCATTCAAGCATGAAACAGGGTGTCATCACTTGGTACTGACATAAGTGTCCACACACACACACACACATATATATATATATAAAATTAATACAAATATAAAGCTTATCACTTAGCTGATTGGTGTTATCTTCAGCACCCTGACTCCAGAGATTTGTAGACGGTACCTCCAGCAATCGATACGTCCACTAGTCAGGGGATATCAGCAATTGACTGTATTTCTATTTTTTTTGTTTTTGTAGATGCACTTTTCATTGGTGCAAGGGTGATTCTTTTTTCCATTCATAGTGTGTGCATGTGTGTTCATGCATGTGTGTGCATGTGTGCTCTCATGTGCCCACTTGCATGTATGTGTAGAATGTCATGTTTATTTCTCCTTTGCTTTGTTCTTCTTGTCATTTTATACTCTCCCCTCTGTATCAGTTTCTTACTTTTTCTTTTTCTTTTTCAGTTGTAGCAATTTATATATATATATATATATATATGTGTGCGCGCAAAAATTCGAATATAACTAAAAATATATCTGTAAAAAGATAAAGTTTTTTTTGCTTTACACACACACACACACACACACACACACACACACACACACACACACACACACACACACACACACACACACACACACACACACACACACACACACACACATTTGACACACACACACACACACAGACACACACACACACAAAACACACTGAAAAAGCAACTTTTTTTATGAAGTTTTTTTAAAATGGTAAACAAGAGATTTTTCTTGTTTAAACAAAATTTTTTTGGGCAGGGGCTTAACATGTGTAGAAATTATCCAGATGATTGGTTAACCTATTAGCAATTTTCAAGGATTTGGGTTATGCGATTGTAAATGGTGTGTAAGTTGTTAGAAGGTAGACATATTCTTAATTCCTGAATACAGCTAGTACGTTATGGCCATGTTCCTCATTGATGATGTTATCAGTTGTTTTTTTGTTTTTAAGATAAGTGCTTCAATTATTTTTAGATGCTTTTTCCAGTTGGTAACACATACCACATTTGTGCTTTCAACAAATATGTTGTGAATCAAAGTTGGTACATTTTCATGCTGGTTCAAATTGGCCCTTGTAGAGCTCTGGTCTGAGAGAAGTAGTTTCAGTTATCTTGATAAGAGAGGGGTGGTATATCCAATACAATTATCCATTGAAGCAGGAATTTACTCTATGATCTGTAATAATTGCCACAAAAAACATATTGGAGAAACTTCAAAGAATTCAAATAAAATATGATATGAACACAAAAAAGAATCTTTTACAAAAAAATTACATTAAATGCATTATTTGTTTACCGTAATTAGTCTGATCATAATTTTGATTTAGAAAATGCTATTTTAATTAAAAGAGAAAACAATTCATTCAGATCAAAATTTATAGAAAGTGTTTTATTTGCTGGATCATCAACAGTAAATTTATGTCCGTCCTCTTATATTTCAACTTCCTTGTCAAATTTATTATCACAATGTGGAATATTTAATAATAAAAGTGATAGAAACATAAAAAGAAAAAAGAAAAGAAATGAAATCAATTAGCCAATAGACCTAGACACATCAATAAAAAAAATTTAAGTAAAATGTTTAAAATTTCAGCATTCTAACATTTTCAGCATTTCCTATTTGTGCATCATTATAACCAATATTTATATTTTTATTTTAACCCCCCCCCAACTACTTTGTGGGCATGTGGAGTTACATCAGTAGAAACATCTCTTTAGTTTGATGAAGTCCTAAATGATGAAACATGTCACACAAAAATTTTTTTCATGCCATGATTAATTTTCTTCACATTGTTCTAGTCTACAAAAAAATCCTCTTCTATTATATATATATATATATATATATATATATATATATATATATGTATGGGAAAATGATATATAATTTTTTTATATATATAAAGAACAATTTAGGGGAAAGAATTATGACAAAGTGTGACATGTTTTGTTTTGTAGCATTTCATTGGATAAACTTAGTCCAATGAAATCCTAAAGTATGAAATGCATTGCACAAAATATTTTTACACTTTGTCTCTCTCTCTCACACACACACACACACACACACACACACACACACACACACACACACACACACACACACACACACACACATATACATATATATATATATTAAGGAATATACATGATACCTTACATTAACTGCACAACTCAAGGGCTGGAATTATTATTTTTATTTTTATATAAAAAAATATAAAATAAAAATATAAAACTCCTGCACTTGACAGTTGCATGAAACTTAGAATTGTGCAATTAATGTAAGTTATTATGTATATTTCTTAATTAATTAATTAAATAACTCTGTTATTTAACATTGAGTACTGTTTCTTCTACACTATAGAGTATTTATATGTATTTATATATGATCCCTCATTTGTATACCTACCTGTATTTACCCATTCAGTTATATATATATATATATATATATATATATATGGTTGAGAATATATATATATATATATATATATATATATATATATATATATATATATATATATATATATATATAAAATTGTTAAAATATATTATATATTTTGTTAAGAATATATATATATATATATTATTGACATTTGGAGAAACATTCATGAAAAGTATGTTATGAAAATAATATCTGATAATGCATTTCACCTCTATGGCTTTATCACATGGATAACAAAAAGATGTGTTGTGTGTGTGTGTGCATTTGTGTGTGTTTAACATAATTAAATCTTTTATTATTTTTCCCAAGCTGGTGTTGCTCGAGACTAAAAAGAAAGAAAATGAGTAACTTTTAAAAAAAATCATTTAACATTTTATATTCTCTGTCTTAAGGATCTGAGTTTTATTACATCTCTCTCTCTCTCTCTCTCTCTCTCTCTCTCTCTATATATATATATATATATATATATATATATATATATATATATATATATATATACACACGCACAATTCTCATTCAAGAGTGCCTCCTATTTCATCATGTTGGCCTCATGTTGTCAGAGACAAATGTTGGTGGTATTACAGTAGAGGTCCCCACCAATAACCCATAATCTTTTCTTACATTGTTACATATAGCTGGTGTATGACAGTTTGGAAAAATAGTTTCTGACATGAAAGTGCATGCAAAACAGGGGCATATCCAGGAATTCCTCTGTACAAGTAAAATTGTATTAATGACATTTGTTGACACTTGCTGACAGTTGATGGAAACCAAGACCAAACAGTGGATTTGAACACAGTCAGGCATTGAGTAATGTGGCCAAAATAATATGCATATAAAGCCATGTCCTAGGTAGCCTTTCTCAGCTGTCAATTTGCAAAATGCAGAGATATAGATGGTGGTGGTGGATATGTGGAAAAATAGTGTTTTTTAGAGGATGATTTGCTCTGTCTGTTGTAGGGGTGCAGGACAACTCAACACCACCGACTCAACACCACCGACCAAGTACCGGGAAACTCAGGACCGAGACAACTCAGCACCAGAAAAACATAACTTTTTTAGAACCGAATGAAAGTATCTGTCTATATTTCTGAGATGTGGTATTCTGTACACTGTTTACATTATTCAGACTATTGTCCTCATCTTTGTCACCATATTTATTACAACGTTTCGGCCATTGTATGCCCTGGCCTTCTTCAGGTGGTTGGAATGTCGAACTGAACCCTTTATTTCACTCACTGGGGTAGACTGTTCTAGTTCCACGTGCCATGTCTAATGGATGTTGGTTATCTCCTGTTAATTCCCCTCTCCAAGTTCTCCACTGCCTTAACCAGGTATTGAACTCACACTGTTTTGGTCCTGTCACTGGATCTAACTCATGAGGACACATGGCACAGTGGATAAAGGTGTTAGTCTGAATAATGTAAATAGTGCAAATAAAAGTAATTTATTAAGAATTAAAACCTTAATTAGTGAATATTTTTCTTCAAATTTCTTTATGATTTACTTTATTAAAAATAATTAAAAAAATATTCACTAATTAAGGTTTTAATCCTTAATAAAATATTTTTTATTTGGTTATAAAAAGTTAAGTTTTTCTGGCACTGAGATGTCTCAGCCCTGAGTTGTCTCCGCCTGGAGTTGTCCCAGTGCTCAGTTTGTGGCGTTGAGTTGTCCCTTCCCGTGTCGTGTTGTAGTTTCCATGGGAATAACTTGGAAGCATTACTTTCGGATCACCGTCTGTATGTTGCCATCAACTCCCTATGTATTCATTTCCACCCACAATAACAAAATTAGAAAAAGCAAAGAGGAAGAAGTTAGAAATAAGGTTTGAAGGAGGGAAAGTAAAGCGTAAGTAAGAAAGTTTGAGAAAAAAGAAAAAGAGAGGAAAAGATGAAAATAAAGCAAAAGATGAAAGGAAAAGATGAAAAGAAGAGAGAGGAAAAGATGAAAAGAAGAGAGAGGAAAAGATGAAAGGAGAGGAAAAGAGGAAAGGAAAAGATGAAAAGAAGAGAGAGGAAAAGATGAAAAGAGAGGAAAAGATGAAAATAAAGCAAAAGATGAAAGGAAAAGATGAAAAGAAGAGAGAGGAAAAGATGAAAGGAAGAGAGAGGAAAAGATGAAAGGAGAGGAAAAGATGAAAGGAGAGGAAAAGAGGAAAGGAAAAGATGAAAAGAAGATAGAGGAAAAGATGAAAAGAAGATAGAGGAAAAGATGAAAGGAAGAGAGAGGAAAAGATGAAAGGAGAGGAAAAGAGGAAAGGAAGAGAGAGGAAAAGATGAAATGAGAGGAAAAGAGGAAAGGAAAAGATGAAAAGAAGATAGAGGAAAAGATGAAAGGAAGAGAGAGGAAAAGATGAAAGTAGAGGAAAAGATGAAAGGAAAGCAAAAGAGGAAAGGAAAAGATAAAAAGGAAAAGATGAAGGGAGAGGAAAAGAAAGTCGTAGGCTGCTTATCTTGACTTTTATTCTTTACATCTTTTAAAATGGATAAGATTTTAGCCCAAATTTTTTTCTTTGCTGCTAAGTCACATACACTGGGACAAATCTTCCTCATTCCCTTCGTATTCCATTTGTAAGGAGGAAGTTCCATTGAGGCAGCTACTTCTAATGAACCAATACTTTGTGGAACAGACTCCAGAGAGGATACCTTCTTAATCATTACACTCTTAACCTGTTCAAGTCTAGAATTAACCATTATCTATGCTACATATCCTGATAAACTGTATTTCTTATATACTTATGTAGGTCATACAACAACCTCATACAGTAAGCCTCTACTTTGAGTGGTTCTTGGGCCTTGTTAGTGAACGTTAGTAAAAAAATGTAGGTAGTTTCTTTACATTTTTAGTGATAAAAACAATACAAAAGTATACAAAAACAAACTTTAAAAAATTGAAAATTCAAAAAATTGTTAATACAAGGGAGGTAACTACATAAACTAAAACCATAGTTGCTTCCCTTATCTTTCTGGTACTTTCTCTGCCATATCTCTTCAGGACGTGAGTGATCGTAGGTCTCCACAACTTTTTTGGTTGTTAATACATTCTCCCTGTTTGCAGTATTTGCTCTTCCATTCATTTTCTGAAATTTTGTTAAGTAGATTTTTGCTTTCACTTGCTTCTTTAGCATTTAGTGTGGGTGGGAAATTCTCCAAGTCTACTTGTATTCCTAAAATTTTATCTGTCTATTTCTGATTATCTGGTTATCAAAAGTTTCTTTGTACTTCCTAGTCTCCTTAAAACTTTCTCAGTTGTCGAATTCTCTCTCCACATCTTTGTTGTTCCTTTTTTTTTTTGTTATTTGTGAAAAAATTATTTAGTATTCACTCATATTGGAGGTTAGACATGATATAGCAGTCCAGCACTCATTTCTTTGTTTCAAATGACATTTTTCAACCCATTAATTCCTTCTTCAGTTTCTTAAAAGCATCTTTCACTATGAATATTTAGATTTCTGTATTTCATAGCTTGTTATTACAAAGGTCAAATGAAAAGTTCATAGGCTAACCAGGATACTCTAATGGCATGTGATCAAATGAGGTTTATTTTTCAACATAGACCACCTTCTGGCCCACACACTTCTTTCATCGGTGTTACAGTGCTTTGATGCAATTTGCGAAGAAGCTTTCATCTTGTTGGTTAAAAAAGAAAAATCATCAGCAGCAGATATTACATCATCATCATTGTGATATTGGTTCCCAGTCAAATATCTTTTCCATGTTGGAGAACAGATGATAATCAGACACTTGAAATTTATGCAGCTTTATAAGCATATTCATTTGTAAAATTAATTACTACTGAAGCAATTATTTCAATAAGGGGCATAAGGGTTAACATTGTATCAACATATTAGTTACTTTTGTATTGAGCATTAGTTTTTTAAAATAAAACAAAAAATACTAAAGAACTTATTTACCTAATGGGTTCTTTCCTATTTTCTATATTTGAACACACACACACACACACACACACATATATATATATATTTATATATAGATTTATGGGTTAAATGCTCAATATCAGGGATAAAGTGTATATAAATATAGAGGGACAACACCTTTTGAGGTGAAAGTCTGTTTCATGCTTAACACTATGGCCTGATGATTGTGTTTAGCATGAAACAGACTGTTCTTGGTGTTGACTTCAATGTCCACTTTTTATATATATATATATATATATATATATATATATATATATATATATATATATATATATATATATATATATAAAGATAGATAGATAGATAGATCCAGATGATCCACTGTGTATTTGTATATCATCATATGACATAACAATAAACAAACCGATCACATAAGTGTGTGATATTGAAACTAACATCTGATATTTACATAGAAATACATTGTTGGAGAACAGATGATAATCAGACAGGGCCAAAACAGTAGAATAGCGAGAGTGATCAATCAGTTCAAAGCCACAGCCATTGAAACACAGGACTTGTAAGCTGGAGCATTGTCCTGATGAAGCAAGAAGATTTTTGTCAAATTTCCTGTATATTTGGTCTTGAAAGCTTTTCATATCTGCCTCCACTAGAACGCATAGTACTCTTCATTGATAGTGTGGGTTTTTTGAAGATGGTTAATAAACACTGTGTTTTGCATCCCAAAAAACTGATGCCATCACCTTCCCTACAGATGAAACGACCTTGGCCTTCTTTGGGGCAGGTGAAAAGGGGTGTTTCCACTGCATGGAATGTCTCTTTATCTTTGGCCCAAAGTGATGGACCTAACACTTCTCCTGGGCTAGGAAATATTCAAGGAAACAAGCCAGATCTGCCTCAAACCATGTCAGATTTTTCCATGATGTCATAAATCTGGTATACTTTTGATCAGGTGTGGTATCCTCCAAGCAGAAACCTCCAGGTGTCAGGTGTGGTATCCTCCAAGCAGAAACTTTTGTCATGTCAAGTTCATTATGCAGAATATTCTCAACTCTGATAGTCAATCGCCTATGATCCATCACCATGTGGTGAACATGATCAATATATTCTTTGGTGTTGGCAGTTGCAGGATGTCAAGATCTTGGGTCATCTTCAAAACGCTCCCTTTTCTTCCTAAATTCACCTACCCACATTTGCACTGTTTATAAAGCTGGAGCATCATCCCATAATCTAACAGCTAAGTCAGCATGAATGTCCTTGGGGGCTAAACCCTTTTTCTGCAGGTACTTGATAACACCATGTGGTCAAATTTTGTCCATTTTCAAGAGAAGTTGCTACTAGTTACTTTTGAAGTTTTCTTTGAACAATCAGATGAAACAAACAATGCAGTTATTAAGAAGAGCTGAAATTAATGCATGCAAGATTTCACAGCTCTAGCATCAACCTATCAGCCTATGAACTTTTCAGCCCGCCCTTGTATATAGCCCAGATTATTGAATTTCTGATGTCCCTGATGTGTAAATCACACTTTGAGCTGTCCCTTTTGCTAACAATCATCCAATCCAACTTCCAACTGAAATGTACTTCTTCCTTGCTTTCCATTGCTTTAATAATTCAAGTTTTCCTTATGAATCTGTCATCAATACAGCGTCATCTACGTATGGTTGTTATGGTCATGTCAGCCAATAATAAATCCTGACACGTCTTTTCAGAATCATCTTACAGTACGAGTCAATTCCCTACTTCTTTGTTTTGTACATTCACTTAACTCATTTTCTATTTACTGGCAAGCTGTTCCAAATACAGGTTATAGATTATTTGCATATCTTTTCCATGTAGACCAAGCTTTCCTAATATATCAAGAAGTTGTTCATCTCATACTATATTGAAAGCTCTGTTTTGCATTTTAATAAGAATATTCATCTAACAAAGAAATAACATTTAGAATGACACTAAAAGTCTCAGAGAAATTAATTAGCAATATTCAGTTAATGACAAAAGTTGGCCTTATGTGGCATAAGGACATAATTATGGAGTTCTTGGTGACAATCTGTCTACAGTAATAATGTTTTTTCAAGAAGTGCTTGCTAAATAAATCCAGTGAGGAGAAACATCTTTTTTTTTAGTGTACTCATTGAACTCATTTTCTGTTTGTATACTATCTGGCAATTGACAGCTCACTCCTACTGTATACATTTTCATGGTACAGAGGATCATAGGTCTCCACAACTTCTTCTCCTTTGTTGATTTAAGTAATGTTTGACTCTTTAATCTCCCCCTTTATCCCCACTCTGCTATCCGTTCAACTAAAGTCATTAAGTACATTATTTGCCATATCCCTCTGTCCTGTGAGTGTCAAGTTCTTCAAGCTGTCTTTCCTCATAATATGTCCTAGAAATTTTAACTGCTTTTTTTTTCTGATTTTAAGTATAAGTGTTCTTCTAGTTCATATTTTCCTTACAACTTTGCTTGTTGTTCACATGTACTGTCTATAGTGTACTTCCACTGTATCATCTATATATAAGCACTGTGAATGTCAGTGTGTCACACACATTCAACTTTACTCCTAGAGGCCGTAGCCCAACATATCATACCATTTTGGAAGCAGGTTAATTCTGTGAGTAAATTAAAAATATTCCAGGCCAGATCTGAACCTACAATCACAAAATTTTTGAATTCCTAACTTTTCATTACTGTGATTGGTTTTTGGTGATTTTTTTTTACATGATTTTTGCGACAAATCTTTTGTACGATAACAATTCTTATAACTTGGGAATAAATTTAGGAATAATCAAAATTAATTACAAAATCCTGCAAAAGTCACTCATGAAATAAAAATAATTGTTTGGACAGAAAGTAAGGACCTATGCACATGAAATTGTCTTTAAATTAAGTGGTGGCATTGAACTTTTAAAAGGTAATATTAAATATTAATGCAGTACTTAAATGCAGTGATCAATTTTCAGTTCTTCTGTAGTTTACTGTTGCCTATAGCATCTACTCCTTACTTAGTTTAAATGCCACCTGATAGAACAGCTTTTAAGCTAGTTGATAAATAAATTTTACAATATATAATATATATATATATATATATGATAAAGTATTAGTTAGCTTAAATGCCACCTGATAGGGCAGCTTTTAAACTAGTCAATAAATAAATTTTACAATATATATATATATATATATATATATATATATATGCGTGTATATATGAATAAAAAGAAAGAACAGTAAGATATATAATGAGAAATGAAATAAAAATTTACTGAATTAGAGAAATGAAATAACTATTTTTTGCCGTCATTGTCAAAATTTTCCTTAAATAGTATTTAAAAATAATATTTAAAAATAAAATTAAAAAGTGAGACTTGGTAATATACATACGTATATTTGATATAAAAAAATAATTTTATATACTGTAAGTAATTCTATTTACTTGTTTTAAAAAGAAATATAGTCTATTAAAATTAAGAGTGAAAATATTTTAAAATTGTTGTTAAATAAAATGTATTCTAACCTAACATCTCTCTCAAAGTATTTCTAGAACTTAAAAGAATCCAACAAAACACCTACAGTAA